GTGTGAGTAGGACAGTCTTCCAGAATGGAGTAGTAATACTTCTATTTCAGTATGTTTGCAGCTACAATGTAACCTCTTTAAGGGCTGAGTTCAAAAGTATTTTGAATGTTCCACAGCACCTAGCAGAATAATGCACCTGCAGTAGATGCTCAATTAGAATTATTTTTTAATTTTTTAAAAGAACAGACAATAATAATTTAGTCTCTTTCATCACTCTTATTTTATCATAAAATATTTAAGTATTAAGATAGAATCCAAGGTTCCCAAAATCATTTAAGATTTTCCCCTACTCATGAATATTCTTTCTATGTAGAGAAAAGTACATACAGTTGTGATGCTGTTGAACTGTCAATCTAGAATTGACTAGAGAAAAATAAAATTAAAGTTTTCCTTAGATCTGGTTTAAAAGAAAGGAAAAAGAGTTAGGCCATAGATTAATCCAGCCAATTAAACAAAGTCTTTCTGAAAATATAAAACTAAAAATATAATTTGATTATAAAGATGTATCTTTCCCTCAGTGATTAATTGCTTTAATTTTATGGGTTACTTTTAGTCATCATGATTTCTGTTCACACTCTTTAGATCAATCTTGTAGACTCTCCTAAGATCAACTAATTTACTATTACAAACTATAATCTATTCATCTAATGCAGAGGTCAGCATACTTTTTTTGTAAAGGGCCAGATAAGTAATTATTTTAGGCTTTGCAGGCCACGTGGTCTCTGTCATAACTACTCAGCTCTGCTGTTGTAGAGAGGAAGTAGCCATAGACAATACATAAGCAAATGAGTATGGTTGTGTTCCAGTAAAATAACAAAAAATGCAGTGGGCCATATTTGGCCCATGGCTATAATTTGCCAACCCCTACTTTAGTCCATTATTTTAAATTTCATTAAGAAAATTCTTACATATACAGAAAAGCAAAGAGAAAACCATATACTATCAGACTTAACAATTGTTAACATTTTGCCTTATGTACTTCATCTATTTTATTGCTGAGTTACCATAAAGAAAATTTCTGTCACCATGAGATTTTGCCCCTACATATTTTGACATGTATCTTCAAAAAGAAAGACATATTATGGGGCCGGCCCCGTGGCATAGCGGTTAAGTTTGCACATTCTGATTCGGTGGCACTGGGTTCACAGGTTAGGATCCCAGGGGCGGACCGATGCACTGCTTGTCAAGCCATGGTATGGCGGCGTCCCATATAAAGTAGAGGAAGATGGGCACAGATGTTAGCCCAGGGCCAATCTTCCTCAGGGAAAAGAGGAAGATTGGCAATGGATGTTAGCTCAGGGCTAATCTTCCTCACCAAAAAGAAAAGACATATTACTACGTAACATAATAAAATTGATAATAATTCCCTAACAGCCCATATTTAAATTTCTCCAAATAACCCCAAAATTATTTCTATTGCTGTTTTGTTTAAATCAGGAATCCAGTTAAGGATCAGGCATTGCATCTGATTGTTATATATTAAAGGAAAAGTGTCTTTTAATCTAAAACAGCAGCCTCCATCCCCTACACTTTTTTATGTGACTCATTGAGGAATAGTCTGATTTTAAACAGTGTGAGCAAGATCTAGAATCAATACATGCCATAGGAACACTAATATAGAAGCAAAGACAAAAATTTTTGTTTATATTATCCTTAACATATTTACTTCAATTTCTTCTCTATTTTAGGATTTACTTTTATGTTTTATTTATTTTTTAAAGAATTTGCAGCGCTGATTATGGTAATTTCAACAGAGATATGAAACCAGAGATTCACATATAACATAAAAGCTTATTTCAAAGGATTTCTCTGAAATATGAGAGTCTAGGCTGTGGGTGCTGTGTAAATGAAGGAATATAGAATAGTCAGTTATCTTAATTAGGCTTAAAAAATTCTAGATCAGTGGAATCCACCACCTTTAGTGAAAGATGCTGATTATTTTGTCTTTCAAGAAGATATTACAGTATCCCAAGCTGTACACAAATATAGAAATATAGACACTGGGGGTGACATTCTAGAGTTTACAGTGCCTTATGAGAGAGAGGAAAATCCTTTCTCAGGGGAGTTTTGATCCTTTTGAGAAAATTTCAGCTTACCAGGGAACTTCCAAACAGAAAAATCAACCCAAATTTCATAAAATTTCCACGAAATGAGAACTGTTGGTAATACGTGGAGGTACACACACGAAACAATGTTCAGAGAAGAAACAGAGTGCAGTGATACCAGATAGAAGAAGCAACCTTGTATAGCACAGTGATGCGACAGTGTGGTGTGAGGTTACAGATTAGGTGGCTGGAAGAAAGAATTGAGAAAATGTAAATATAGAAATGAGAGGGGTTTGTGTTGCCCATGTTTTAAAATAACTCATGGGCATTAGGACAGAGGATCAGTAAGGTGTCAGGAAAAGGCACTGGGCCAACTGAGATAATAGGAGTACATAAAGGAAAGAGACTCAAAAGGTGCCAGCTGGAAACTGGAACAAAGCTCGAGTTCTCTCAGTTGAGAAATGGAACAGGATAGATTTAATTAAAGGGAGTTGAATTTATAAAGAACAGAAGGAGTTAAGGCATAGAAAAAGATAGAAGATAATAAAAGCACTGTGCAATATGGTAATCACTGGTCAAATGTGGTTATTTAAATTTAAATTAACTAAAATTAAATAAAGTTAAAAATTCTGTTCCTCAGCCATATTAGTAGTCAATTCTCAATAGCCACATATGGTTAGTGGCTACCATATTGGAAAACAGAAATAGAGAACATTTCCACATTTCAGAACAGGACAATAAAATGATTAAGAAAGAGAAAAAGGCAAGAAAAGAGGTTAAGAAGAAAGAATGGTGATTCATAAACTCCATTTCCCACTTGTGCTTAATGTCACTAGCTCTCATGTGACAGTCAAGACAGCCACTGCTCTGCAACATTGGGATTCTGCCACACCTCCTCTCCAGAAACGTGCTGGAGAAGTTGCTGACTAAGGAATGCTCTAGTTGGTTAGGATGGTTGGAGCAGGCCATTGAGTTAGGGGTGGAACCAAGGTCAGGCTTGGGGAAGAGTCATTCAATGGATGAAGAGGGCCTGTGCACACCCTAGCGCCATACCTAGAACTCAAGGGGGGTAAACATTCACTTGCCACTGGAAAGCTCCAAGAGTAGGTTCTTTCATCTCTGGTGCCCAATGAGTCTTCAGTCTTTCACAGTCATACAATCTTATACTAATATATTGCTCAAAATATGTCATAGGATCACACTCACATTCTGTCTTACTTGACTCATGAGAAATTTGGCCTGACCATCTCCTTTTATTTTACTTATTCACATCAACCAATTCCTATCATAAGCATTCTTATTCATTGCAAGTAAATATAGGCAGCCTATCTACTTCCCTCTAACCTCCATTATGTACAGCATGAAATTTCAAACTACTGTTGAGTAACCTTTGCCACACACCTGTAGTAAAATGACAGCATTCTGTAGAACCTCTGATCTTCAGAGATATCCTTCCTTTCTGGGTCATTTTAAGCATCCTTTTGACCATAATCAACCTCTTATCAGATTGGTCTCTTATTCCAGACTGCCATTTCCAACTCCATAGACTTCCTGCCACTCACAATATTTATACCAGACATTGCCAAGTGAAGAGATGATATCCCAAGAACACTTTCAAATGCTGCCTTGTGAGAGTCACTATTTATTTTCACAAACCTCAGGGCTGCTCAGTTTGTCATTTGCATGTGTGGGCAGCCATCTCTTCAGTGTGTTCCCCATGTTCTAATTGGCTCACTATCCAGATTCTTGGCTCTGTACTTGGGAATTGTCATTGACTTTTAACCCACCTCACCTGAAGAGCAGCTTTCTGGTTTCCATTAGTATTTCAGGCATTGATCCTCGTTTTAAAAACTATTAACAGGATTTTAATTGGTGGTTTTGATTGTTTACTTTTCATCTGGCTTGGTGATATTTTAAATTTTGTTTTACTGAATTTGCAAAGAGCAGAACTTTAAAGAGAGAAAAATAATTGGGGAGAGAAGATACTCATTTAGAGAAGTAGAGGCTTCCCTGGTCTTAGGCTGATCACTTAAAGGGAATCGTGACTTGTACAGATGACCTTATAATTGTAAGTATCATAGTTTTGCTTGTTTGAATTAATGCTATATACACAATGGAATACTACTCAGCCATAAGAAACGATGAAATCCAGCCATTTGTGACATCATGGATGGACATTGAGGGTATAATGCAAAGTGAAATAAGTCAGAGAGAGAAGGTCAAATACCATATGATTTCCTTCATTAAGTAGTAGATAATAACAACAATAAACAAACACATAGGGACAGAGATTGGATTGGTGGTTACCAGAGGGGAAGGGGGGAGGGAGGAGGGTGAAAGGGATAATTCGGTACATGTGTGTGGTGATGGGTTGTAATTAGTATTTTGGTGGTGAACATGATGTAATCTATGCAGAAATAGAAGTACAATGATGTACACCTGAAATTTTTACAATGTTATAAACCAATGTTACTGCAATAAACAAAAAATTTAAAAAAATAAAAATAAAAAAATAAAAAAAATCCTCACTCTTAACATTAGCAGATTTTCTGTCTCTTAAACAACTTCGAAAATAACTGACTAGTTCCTAACATCCACTGAAATGGAAAGTTTGTAATTTTCTACTGTGACCTGAGGGTCTGGCTCTGAGCATGGGCGGGAGAATCCCCTTTGAATAATATAAGCCTGACTACACTTGCCTTTTTAATATGGGAAGAAGCCAAACAACCTGTAAAAAAAGCATAAGGTGAAAAGTCCTTATCAATTGCGTAAGTCCCCATAATTCTGATCATTTTAAATGCCTGTCACTGAAAACCTTCTGTAAAGGAGTGAATCTTTCAGGACCCACAGAGAGCTGCCTTTCAGCTGGAAGGGTGTGTCCTTAAGCTTTTACCTGGGAGCAATGATGATCTTGTCAAGCATTTTAGTGAGACCAGCCCAAGTTTTTAGGGTGGGGATCTAGACTGGTTATACGTACCTTCAGTCCGTCTCCCAGAGAAGGCAGAAACACCTCAAAGCCTGCATGTAAGAACATCTACTGAGAAATTATTTTAATCAGACACCAGCTGAGTGGGGGAAAGAAAAAGAACAGAGAAGAACAAACAAAACTCCCTTGGTCTTGGATGTAAGAGAACTCGGCAGCGATGGACTGGCACTTCTTCAGAACAGCGGCAGTGCTGTTCATTTTCTTGGTAAGTGGAGTCTGTTAAAAACCCTTCATAATCATTCACATTGTAAACAAGTGAGAACTTTTTAGAAAATGTTATTTAGTGTTATTTCTAGCCTAAACCCATTAAAAGTTTATGTTAATGACGAGGTGATTTTATGAACTAGATTTTTAAATAGTGTTTCTCTCTTTAATTGAAGACTCGAGATCATATTAATGCGTCAGTGTTAACTCATCGTATCACATCTCTGACATGGAAGTCATTGCTAAGTCATGCCAGGAAAATATTGAATTAAGAAAAGTCGTATCACTGCTTAACAGCACTTTGATTTTCAAATTCTTTTTTGCAGATGGGCTTTTAAACTAATAATATCACAGGTGTGTCCTGATTTTTAACCTAAACAATTTTCCATTCTTTTGTTATCTTTGCTGGTAGATTTGCTATAATTTTTAAAACATAAAAATAGTATCCGTATAAATTAAAATCATAGCAGTTTGTGACTGGCCTCACTATCCAAACAATCTCATCGGTTCCATATGTAGTTGAGAGCCATATCACTAATATCGAAAGTCTCACATTGCTAAACTCTGATTTTAATTAAAACAACATTTTTTTATTGCAAATAAAATGGTGGTATGGGAGATTTATAAATGATATAGTAGGTGAAGGAATGGCTATGACTAAGGAGTAGGTATAATTATTAAGATACTGGCTCTTACTACTGGAAAATCAGCAACGATGGTGATACAAATATCAAGTTGTACATTTGATGGTTAGACAAATGTAATGAAATGCTTTCTCATTGTCCCCCTTGTACGTCATTAGTTATCTCTTTTTAGAGATAATACTAAGTGCAACACCACTGTGTTGCATCAATTTCACTTGTGTTGAAAATTTTTAAATCGTAGTCTCTCGCACAGCAAGGTTAATGTACTCTTTGGAGGCAAGTGCCTGTTAATCGCTCTCCAATTTGGCAGGATGTAGTGCTGTGGTTTATATTTGTTTCTACATGCTTAATTTTTGAACTGGATTGTTGAGTTTCTGTAATAACAAGTTAGATCTTCTTTGATTCAAGGTATGCTGGTTAGTTTGAATTCAGTTTATTAATTGAGAGAGGTCATAACCAGTAGATTTAGTTATAAATAAGCATCAATAAGCTGGTAGCTTTAGTTCCAGGCTGCCCTTCAAACATTAGCCCTGTTCCATGGACTTTTTAATGGATCTTTAGGATCAGTTGATATCATAACTGGGGATGTGGCAGGGATTCATGAGCATTATACAGCACGTCATTTGAACATAGGAGCATTTGTGTATTACGAAATAATCAAATACTTTTATTTTTAATTTCATATAAATTTGATCCATTAAGGCCTATTATAGTTACAATTGATTAAAGTTTATTCAGATGCTTATGTACTTTCACTGAATCTATAAAATACTTTATTTCTTTATTCTATTATTATTTCTAATTAATTACATCCCATAAAATTCCTTTAAACAGCCACTTTCTAATTAATCATTCTTCAGTAAAATATATCATTTTTTCAAAATCATGCATCCTCATTGAAAAGTCTCTTTTTGTATAAAGGTTTCTGGGCATTTGTACTTTATTTTCCGAGTCTGGATATATTTTTTGTTTGTGGATTGTTTGTTGCCATATTTTACTCTGGAATCAATGGCAAGTTTCTCATATGCCTTATGAAAATTATTTCTCAAAGAACTTATTTTATTATAAATTAAAATGTTTCATTTTCCCATTATTGTAACTTTTGTTGTAAAGCATTTTACTTTCTGAGGTTTGGAAAATAATAATTTATTTTTACTACTGATTTTACCAGATGATTTGAATAAATATCCTTTGGAGTCATCTGATCTATTTTTGCTTTAAAATACTTTTTTTTATTCTGAAAATTAACCACCACTAGAGCAAACTCTCCCACTTACCTTTCTGCTAGCCTTACTATGAATGTTTGCTTTAAAAAAAAAGAAAAAAAATCTGTGTAAAGTCTTTATATTCTTCTCTGCTCAAAGTGAAAATCTACATTAGGGAATATATTTGGACAATCTTGAAGACTTTTAAGACATTTAAACAGGTAGTGTCTTTATTAATGCAAATCCATTTGCGAGATGGGCAGCCATCTATATACAAGTATGTTACATGGTCTGCTGAATACACCTGAAGGTTTTAGACCTTGTTCAAATTAGTGAGTTAAATCAGGGAGAATAAGGCTGAAGAATCTGCTCTGACAGCAACCAAGATTGCCACATGACTATTCCATTATTTAGACAAGTGTCCTGGATAGACAATAGTTTACACCTCTTATAACATTGCAAGCCAAATAAATATTATTGATTCTGCATTTCTTTTTCTTTTTTCTTTTTTTTTTTGTTTGTTTCCATGAAATTGGTATATGGGATGGGGAGGGGTTAGAGTGTATTCTAGGCCAGAGAACAATGTTACCTATGCACCAAATATAAGAAACTTCTGTAGATGGTTGTGACAATGGTATAAGGTATGCCCTAGTCATGGTAGGAAAGCAAAATACGACCAGTAGAATTTTTATAGTTCTATTGATTTCTAAAAATTACTTGCAACTTTGCCAGATCTATTAGTCAACTCAAATAAATACAAATCTCAATGTATCTTTTTCTATTAAGGCCAACTTCTGCAGCTTACACTCAAAGAACAAATAAACCTATCTTTATCTATTACCAAGAGTGATCCAATTTCTTTAGTTCATCATACCAGCCTAGCTTTTCTTTTTTCCATGATTAATATTTCCTTTCCAAAAAAAACCCCTCTGACCACCTGATAAACTAACTCCACGATTTGAACTTAGCTGAAATTATTTAGGCTATAGGCAGGAGTTTTTCAGAGTATTTCTCAGCACTCTGGCTAAAATACATAGGAAATAAAATATACTTTATTTCATAGTGCACTCACTTATTTGAACCAGACACCTTAATTCTCATAATTGTGTTCACTGATTCCTAAAACAAGGAAGGACTAGCAAACTAGTACAGACCAAACAGAAGACAAGCAAAAGAGAGGATGTTTTATGCTTTCTTGTGCACATATTATAGTGACATATATTATAGATATTAGCATCTCAGCAAAATATTTTATAGAAAATGGAAGAGTATTTCTGTTTACCTGTTCAGTAGAATTTATAAATTGTATTTAAGCAAAATCATTTCCATTTATATGGTATTCTTAAAAGCTTTATTATTTCACTGCAGATTTAGAATCAGCATCTTCTTTCACCTTTGTGAAAATAGGGAGTTCAAATTTATCATTATTTAATTGGTTTGAGTTGCCACAGAGGAAAAACATTTTGCCATGCCTGATTTAGGTTATAGAAAAACCTAAAGCACTGGGAAATGCTGTCTGGATAAATCTGAAGGCTTGGCCCCTAAGAGACAAGATTCCCTTATTTAGCAAGGCTCAGGAATCAAGAAAAATGACACTTGTCTATACCTGGAGCATTTAATTTCAGATAACTCTTTCTCCACTATACATTCTTCAAGGACTTTGTTGCTGAGTATCCCTGTGTCCTGACAGGCGTTGCCTAACACAAAAGCGGGAAGCATGCTCGGCAATGCAGTTAGATTTATGATGCTCCCTTCAATGAGGGATCAGGGAATACCCTTACGGAATGCTGGGTCTACCACCCTTGCTGGTTCTGCTTGGCATGCAAATTCCTTTAATGGACTTAGGCAGGTCAAACTTTTTTAAATGCCATTGGCTGCTGATCCAGGCTCTCGACTGGTCTATAAGAATAGAGTGCAGCCTTATACACTTGTCTAATGAAAAACCGTATCTCCACAAATTAATGGCTGCCTGTTGCTCATAAAACTACTTAACTATAAGTTATGTGCGGGCAGGTTCTGTGTCTGATTCACTTTTGAATCCTTCATAGTGCCTTACACAAATGCAAGATTGCTCAATAGACATCTAATCAAACAAAGTAGAGGCATCCGAGGAGAATTTTTGGATAGTTTATATTTCTTCTTCCCCACACACTCCAAAAAATCATCAAGGTATTAAACACGGAAATAATAATGTTGAATTTCCCTAACATTTATTTTTATGGTGTAGTATTACATTTACTTTACATTTTATCTAAGGCTTACCATAATACTTTTGGGGCTTAAGCCCTTTAAAAGTCTTCATCCAGTGTTGGATCCACATAATACACATTTGATATGTATTTGTCAAATGAACAAACAAACTAATGAACAAATAAGAGAAATCACCCTATCAAGGTGCTGTCAACTCCAGACTGATAGCTTTTGTCCAAGTAATATAAAGGAAAGACAAAAGAGGAAGTTTCTTAAAAAAAGCAAACTATTATATTTTAGCTTTGTCTCAAGTTCATCTTTGTGTTGCATATAACAGTTAAATACATTAGAATTTGATGCCTAACAAAAACTGCCAAGTGACTGTGGAAGATCACCTCACAATTATTAAATGCAAGAGTTTTTCCTTATAAAAATTACCACTTTTAAAACAATTTTTATTATATGCAAAGAAATATAAACCTCAATATCAAAAGAAAAAAAGCTAAAAATAAAAAAACTAACGAGTATAGTTAGAGAATCATTGAAATTAGCATGAAATTTTGTGTCCTGTGGCTTTCTTTTTCCCTTTTTAATATGAGGATCAGTTCCTAAAATAGAGATGAAGGGAGGACTCATTGAGGATATACTTCAAGTAAATTATTTACTGCTTTCTTAGAATTTTTAGATTAGAAAGGGCTTCAGTCTCAAATACAGATGAGGAATTGGAGGCACAGAATGGCTAAGTGGCTTACCCCAATGCCCATATCCGGTGAGCAACAGAGCTGAGATGTACTCAGTCAGCTTGACAACACCTGTATTCATCTCTAAGTGAATCTCCATCACAGCCTCCACAACATATATTCCCAACTTATTTCAGAATCCAAACTACTCCCCTAATTGCCAGAAAATAACCTTACCCTTACTCTAGAGCAAGGTCTAGATAATGAAGGACAATGTCCTTCAACCTCCCTGTGATAATCGATTGATTTTAATCTCCATCCTTCCTCTCTCCCTTCCCTTCTGCCTTCAAAGTCCTTTCTTTCTGCTTATTCCCTCCTGCTCTCTCCATCACAACACCTCCATCAAGTACTTTCTTTCTGAACCTCTTCTCTTTCAAATCAAAATCTCCTGCTTTCCTCTTTCTCCACCTTCAAAAATCCACATTTCCCTCTCCCAAAATATTTCCTTGGACACTACATCTAATTCTACTATCACATCTTTCTGTTTCCTTTTATCACCAAATTTCTTGAAAAAGCGACCATCTGGATGTACTCTTCCTCTTCATCTTATTACCCTATCCCTTTCAGTCAGGAAGGGTCTGTTCCACCCAACTAAAAGCATTTTCCTGAAGGTCACAGAAAACCTCAGAATCTCCTCAGGATTCACTCTGCTCAATATTTTTATAACATCTGACGTCTGTTCACACCCCACCTTTCAATTCTCTCTCCCTTTGGCATCCATGACATTGCATTATATTTTCCTCCTGTTTCTCTGGGCACTTATTTTCTATCTCTTTTTTTCTTTCTTGTTTACTGTCATTGTTCCCAGTTATGTAAATGTAAGAATTCCCCTAGTTTCATTCTCAACCACAGGCCATTTCTTTGCTGTATTTTCTACTTAGGGATTTCAAATTCTCCCATGATTTCAACTACCCTACCTGAGCAGATGTCCCTCAAATCTATATATCAGGCCTGAACTATTATTCATCAGGCTGACACATAGTTCAAATTGCTGATTATCTTTACCTGTGCGTTTCCCTGGCATCTCAAACTCGATGTGTTCTAACCTGCTAAATTCTGCTACTGCCTTGCTCCCAATCTCCCAGTTGAAAACTGCCATCACCTGAGATTCTTCCCTCTCTTGACTCCCACATCCCGTTTGTTCTGAAGCCTTGTCAATTTCAACCACGTAGTCTCTCTCCCTTGATCTTTCCTGGTCTGTTCCCACTGTCACCGCTCTGGTTCAGCGCCTCCTCATCTCTGGCTTACCCCAATGCCCATATCCAGTGAGCAACAGAGCTGAGATGTGCTCAATGCGATGTAGAAGACTCAACGGCTCAGTGGCCTGTAATCGCTGCCTCTTCTCACTACTCCTATCTATTGTTGTCTGAGTAACCTTTTAAACCCACAATTTTATCATGCCTTTCCCACGATCAAAAAAAATCAATATTTTCCTACTGCACACAGAGATTTGATGTTAGAAGTGGAAAGGTAACTGTATATAATTTAGTCTGCAACTGCCATTTTACAAATGAGAAAAACCTAAGAGAATTTAGGAAGTACATTGAAAGTTTTCTGACTCTATCAAGTGTTATTTTTATCTCATTATTTTGGCCTTAAAAGTCCAAGAGTGACTGTTTTAGATTTTATTCTAGACTCTGAGCAAAAGACAATAAAGTTATGACAACACAACATAAATTTAAGCAGACTTGGCAGTTTTTTAATTACTAACCCAATTGAGAGCCTGACACTATGGTGAAACCTATTTGCTCTTCTGCCTAAGTTGCCTCTCATGGGAAAAAGAATGAGCCAGCTTCATAAAGTTGGAAGGTTTCTTAGTCATCCAGCATAGTTCAAAACAAACAGCAGCCGCTGACACTTCAGTGTGGTAAGGAAAGAGCAAGACAAACAATAGATGCATGCACAATTCTGTAGCTATGAAGAAATGGCTTCCAAACAGACAAACACACTCCCACTCACACCCACAAACAAATGAGAGAAAAAAGTACTCATGAGTTCACAAGTAGCAAGGAGTACACATTTGCATTAACACCATTTCAACTCTGTGCCCAAGAGGGACTCTACAATAACATTTCCATTACTTGTCCAAACCATGTGAACCATTTACTTTTCTTTTTTCCCCTAGTATTACTATTATTGCTGTTGTTATTATTGTATATAAACATTTCTAACCATAAGGATAATATGAGATTAGATTAAAATCAGAATGTTTTTGAATTCTCAAAGTTGTAATATCAATTCTTTTCAGTATATTTTACTTAGTAATTTACTTGGGATAGACTATCTTATACTTTATTGTAAAACTCACACCTCTAGCACATATTTAGGATGAATTGTGTTAGATTGTATTTAGCCATAAATTAATATATAAACCTCAATTTCCTCATCTGTAAAATGGAGATAATTATAGCATTGATCACGTGTACTTGTGAAGATTGAATGCATAGATTTCTCTAAGCACATTGTCTAGTACCTGGTTATCATTCAGTGAATTGTAATGGTGATAATGATAATGGTTAACATTAAATATATACCATGAGTATATAATGCCTATAATAAAAAAGTTTATATTACTCATATTAACCATAAATATGAGTTATAAATAAATACATATTTTCTTGAATTATCAATTATGGCAATTTTTAAAAAATATGTACTTGGAGACTAAAATTTTATTTTTATTTAATAGTGAAATTGAAACTAACTATAAAAAGTAATTTGCTGTATTTTGAGATTACTATTATTAGTATTTTTTAAAGTGCAAACTATAATTATCTTTTATCAGTGATACAGAAAAAGTCTGTGATAACAGTTTTTATACTTTGCAATTCTGAAAAATTCAATTATAAGTTGAAAATTTCTTATTTAGGAATAAATAAAAACTAAGGATTTATGTCATCTTTAATTGATTGTAAGTGTAATTTAAAACTTAATAAACGCAAACTAGCCTTCAGAGCCACACCTAATTTTTTAGATAGATACTTCATAATGTCTTAAGTATATTGATATATTAAACTTAATATATGTCTGTGTTTTTAGAAAAGCATTTGGTTTTTAGAGAAGAGTAATATAAATTATCCTGAGTTTTTCCCTACAAATCATGTGTAAAGATCAGGCCAGAGCTGAAACCAGGCAGAGCTCTGTTTGACTAGCTCACTCGTTTGCCAGAGAAATTGTTTAATTCAGGAGAAAAGACTAATGAAAGTTGCTTACCCAGCAATTTGTCCCTATACTCCTGCACTTTCTTCTGCTTGCTATGGAAGCGTGCATTTATAGTATCTATTTCGTTTAGCGCTAACAATAAAACATCAACTATGATTTCATTTTTACATAAAGGAAAGTATTTGCTTTTTGTTTTAGAACTTTTTATTCTCACATCTCAAGGCAAGTGAAGAAAATTATCAACATTTTCAAGAATCCTAGAAAAATCTTCCTTCTAGAATTGGAACGTCAAGGAGCAAGTATTTTGAAGCTTTCTGGATGTTTTCCACTTCATTTCCTTTCTTCACTCCAAAATATTTTTTTTCTATTCCCTTCTGTGGTTAGTCTGATTCAGAAACTAGAGTCAATTGTTTTAGCATCATGAGTTATTGATGGATATCACTGAATAGCATCAGAGTATCTCCAGCTCTTCGGTCACAAGATTTACTAAGAGAGCCTAAGTTCCCAACCTTCAATCTCCCTGGGTTCTAGCTTCAAATGTCCTAGCTCATGTGATTACATGCATCTGCAAAGGCTAAGAATAAAAAAGAGGTTAAAAAATAAAAGTAATCGGGGCTGGTCCCATGACTTAGTGGTTAAGTGCGTGCGCTCTGCTACTGGCAGCCTGAGTTGGGATCCCGGGCGTGCACCGACTCACCGCTTATCAGGCCATGCTGAGGCGTCGTCCCACATACAGTAACTAGCAGGATGTGCAACTATGACATACAAGTATCTACTGGGGCTTTAGGGAGAAAAAGGGGGAAAAAAAAGGAGGAGGATTGGCAATAGATGTTAGCTCAGGGCCAGTCTTCCTCAGCAAAAAAAAAAAGAGGAGGATTGGCATGGATGTTACCTCAGGGCTGATCTTCCTCACAAAAAATAAATAAATAAATAAATAAAAATAAAAGTAATAAAAAGAAGAAGAGAAAAATTGAAAGGTAAAAACCAAAAGGAAAGGAATCCTTAGCATCATCATCAGACCTGAGAGAGAAACCAGATCTACCTGCTCCTGGAGTGAAAAAATAATTCTGGTGACTCACAAGACTATTGTTTGATTTTTTTTAAAGGAATTGAATAACATGAATTATAAAGCATTCAATTAAAAATTAACTATTACTATTATTTTTTATAGGTGGTGGTGGAAGTTAACAGTGAATTTCGAATCCAGGTAATACATAGCAAATCTATTTTTTCAAATTAAAAACAAGGAAAATGGTTTGGAAGTTACAACATATTTTCCAAAGAAAATTCATCTCTATAAGTAAATTTAATGTTATGCTAAAAATAACAGATTATCAAAATTGCCAATTTTCTCAATTAAACAACCTCCCCTTCTGACATTACAATTACCCTCCTCCTTCAAAATCTCCAGTGGAATGTGAATTATGAATAGAAGTTAATGGTTTATTATTACTCATAGTAATAGTGCTATTATTAGTAATAACAATGAGATTATTACTTTATACTGCCCATTCAAGGTAAGAGATTATAATACTAAAAATGGCACCATCAAGTGGCATTCAATCAGAAGGCAAAAACGTGAATGGATCAAGTTCGCTGCGGCCTGTCGTGAAGGTGAAGACAACTCAAAGAGGAACCCAATCGCCAAAGTAAGTATCAGTCCCAAAGCATAAGATCAAAAATCAGAATGGATGGGGTTAAAGTTTCAAACTTTAAATATTTTGTGTACATATCTGAGAATTTATGGTACAAAACAGAATTATTGTCATTCAGATTATGAAAATCGAAGCCATTAAAAGGATACATTAAGAAATTTAGGCACTCAGGTAAACAGTTAAACACTGACTCACCTCACTCGTGAAATTAATACACCCAATCATGTGTTACTGCAAACTCCAGATGAAAAAAGTATAGTGGTTTAAATAATGAATTCAGCACTCAACACATGCAGAAGAACTATTTCAATGTTACTCTTTCTGCTTTACAATCTATTAGAATTGAATTCCTACTTTTTGGTTTATGAACATTCACAATGTACCTTCTTTCATACTCTCTTTTCCTTGATTTTCCCTTATCTTCTTTTGTATACACATACATATATACACACACACTCAGAAACACATCCCCACACACAGATTCACACATATACAAATATATATATATATACACATAGACACACATACAAATATACACAAATATTCACACAGATATACACAGAGACTCCTCAGTAAGATTTGCTTACAGTCATTGAATATTTTATTTCAAAGAAAGAGTCCTGGTTTCTATAACAATTTATTTGGGGTGGTCTCCCTACTTTTCTGCTAATATATCCTCCCCATTTTCAGAATTAAGAACTTCTACACAGAGTTGGATAACTCTTGTCACATACATAATCCGTTTAAAACTTCCTTCTAAAACTTTATGTCTTAAAAAATTTTGGGGGCCGGCCCCGTGGCTTAGTGGTTGAGTGCGTGCTCTCCGCTGCCGGCGGTCCGGGTTCGGATCCTGGGTGCGCACCGAGGCACCGCTCCTCCAGCCATGCTGGGGCCGCGTCCCACATGCAGCGGCTGGAAGGATGTGCAGCTATGACAGACAACTACGTACTGGGGCTTTGGGGGAAAAATAAATAAAAAAAAAAAAAATTTTTGAATCATAAGATCAAAGTTACATAATGACAACATTGGTAAACTCTTTAAGAAGGTAAGGAGTTCCTACTCTAGCCCCAGTGCTGGCACAGAGCCTGAAAATAATATGATCAAATTGTAAATGTTGAATGAATGGATGAATGAATGATTTAGACTTTGATTTATTAGAGGGATATTTTACTTTTTTCTTATTTGGTAGAAATAGAAATTGAATTTGTTTCATTATATTGTCACTTACCACTGATAATATGAGAGCTGTAATTATTCCACTTACCTAGGAAAATAATTCTCTATTATTTCCAGCATTTCCCAAAAGATAATAGGGGCTCATATTTAACAATTCTTGAGAAAGATAGCTGTCGTATATCAAACATAGCACTCTTTATTTGCTCCCTGTAATATTTTCACTTGTACTTTTTCTGCAGATTCACTCAGATTGTGCTGCAAACCAGCAAGTTACATACCGCATCTCTGGAGTAGGAATTGATCAACCACCTTATGGAATCTTCATTATTAATCAAAAAACTGGTGAAATTAATATAACATCCATAGTTGATCGAGAAGTCACACCTTTTTTCATTGTAAGTGGGCTCCATGTCAACACATATGTTCAGGCCTAAATTATTTTTGGAATATCCTAAGCTGAGATCATACTTGATTGGATTTCAGGAGTCTCAATATTAGGCATTTTTGGTTGTCTCTTAATTCATGAGCATCCCATAACTCAATAGAAACAAAGAGAAGATTAAGAGAGAGAGCAGTGTTTCTCTTAAGTGCCTTAGCAAAAATGCTAATGTCTGGTCTGTCCCAGTGGTAAACTAGCGTATTTGTTTGGAAGGGTAAACACCTAACTTTTTCTTCTTTTTCTTGAATTCAGTTGAGAATGTTGGTTCTTTTTAACTCTGATGCCAAGTGATGATTCTAGAGCTCTAGGGTAGCCTTTTCTGAGTGAACATACTTCAAACTAAATTCACATTGCTCAGGCTTACCTGAGGTCAGAAGGTGACTTAGGAATACGTCAATTCATCCTTAACTGAACCTCACTCCATTCTTTACAGTGGCTGTGACAAAATTTCAAACTCTCAACCTCATTTTCACTTTAAACAGCTGATCTGGTGACCAACTTCATTAAAAAGGCTGAGGCTCTCCATCACAAACTCCCACAATTAATTCTCTCTTCTGGGGCTGGCCCCGTGGCTTAGCAGTTGAGTGCGCGCGCTCTGCTGCTGGCGGCCCCGGATCGGATCCCGGGCGCGCACTGACACACTGTTTCTCCGGCCATGCTGAGGCCGTGTCCCACACACAGCAATTGGAAGGATGCGCAGCTATGACATACAACTATGTACTGGGGCTTTGGGGGAAAATAAATAAATAAATAAAATCTTTAAAAAAAAAAATTCTCTCTTCTCCAGTTCAAAAGTGTTCTATATTAAATGCAAAAACAGGATTGATTTTCTGCTTTTTCCCACAGCTTCTCCCAAGAGATTTCCATTGTCTCATAATCACCTGTTTCTTCAAGAACCTTATTCCATCAACTTTATTTTTCATCTCTCTCCTGCTCGGTTCATTAGCTGCTTCTATTTCCATCTATCATCATGGTCAACCCTTCTTAGTACTTCAAATAAGAAATGAAAATAAAGAAAACCTTCCTTGATCTTGTAACCTCTTCTATTAAAACTGCATCAATCCATATCCCAAAACACCTTCAAAGAGTAATCCATGCTTGCTGCTTTCACTCATACTGCTTGTCTGTATTCCTCAGACTACTTTAATTCCTTAGTCTTCTATTCCAAATCTATATTCCTGCCTAATCTCCCACAATATTTCCCCACAAATTCTAAATCAGCATGCCAGCCTATTGGCTTTTCTCGAAGCACAATGCATTTTTATATGAAATATACCACATAGGTGAAATAGTACACATTACACTTATGTTCACGGCAAATATAAACAATAATAATAGTACAAACACCCACATAGCCCCACCTAGGTTATGAATGCCGTATTTCTTGAAGCCCCCATGTGACGCTCCTTTACCACGTCCTCAAACTCCCAATAGTCCCTAGTCCTAATTTCAAACAATGCATTTTCATCACTCCATTTCCTTCCTCACATGAATCCCTTTGCTTGGAACACCCCACCAATCCCCTGCTCTACCTGTTGAAATTTTCTTTCTAGATCTATGTCAATCATTATATCCTTATAGGAAGTCACAGAATTTTTCTTCTTCCTTTATATAACTTATCTTACTACCTTTTATCAAACAATATTTTGAGTTTGTGTTTGCCTCCCCTTGTTAATTATAAGTACTGCTTGTGCCTACATTCTAGTAGGAAATAATATGTTTTACTTTTCTTTTAGTTACCCACAGTGCCCACCCAGCATAGTGCCCAAACAAAGTAAGAACTTAAGAAATACGTGGTGCACCATATAATTATCGCTCTTTTCTCTCCTAGATCTATTGCCGGGCTCTGAATTCACTGGGCCAAGATTTAGAGAGGCCTCTTGAGCTCAGAGTCAGGGTTTTGGATATAAATGACAACCCTCCAGTATTTTCTATGTCTACTTTTGTAGGACAAATAGAAGAAAATTCTAATGCAAGTAAGTAATTTATTTTATTAAGTAAACAAGAATATATTGGCTTCCAGATCACTCTTAACAGCCAGGTAACTAGAGGCTAAACTATCTCAAGGTACTACATCACAAACGTAAGAGATGAGTATAGAAAAGCACACAGAACAGAAAGGCATGAGGAAGTCTCCATAATGACTTTCCCTTCAACAGCAGCGCTAATCCCTCACACACAAGGAGCAACTCCAATATAACAAGGAGGATTTTCTTATGTAACTCATACACCGGCTCTGGAGTAGATTCCTAAGGAGACATTCCACAAGTGCTTTGCACAGAGGTGGCAGGGGCCCTGGGAGGAGAATTTAGCCTCCCAGCATGACTGCTCTGAAGGGCAATCTCATCCACTTCTGTTCATACTGCTTTATTTTTTTTTTTTTAATATTAACTATTTTAAAGTCACTGGTAAAAATCACTTCAGTCAATCTGTTTTGTGGCCATAATCTTTAAGAGCTTTCGTTGACAGCAAATAAATGCAAAATAAGAATTGCTTCCCCTTCTTATATATGATTTACTAAATATAGGTTTTGTTTGCTTTTTACTCAAGTCACTGATTTTATGTATTTGAAATGCATTATAAACCTAATCCTGTTTGGCCTACCATGCATACTTAAAGCTGATTGTCTCAAGTGGTGCTAGTTGAGTGGTACCAGAAAACCTATAAACTAGAGAGAGCATTTGCCTGCAATAGATTTGACAACCTACAGGTGCAATGGTCTCCTTATGGATTACTGTAAATGGCAACGTTTTAACCGCCAAATATTCAGTCACTTGGGAGGCACAGAATATTAACTGCTTAGCACACCATTGAAGATTATCCTAAATATAGTAAAAACAGCAGAGATGATTTTTCATATGAATTCAAAACATCAACTTAGCATAGTTACTTTTAAACTTTAAGTGGTATAATTTCTTACAAATTCAAAAATTCCTTACATTTTACTGCTCTTCATTAAAATAGTATAACTATACTTTAAACTTTTAAAAATACCATTCTAAAAGTGTTTGTTGTAAAAATTCACACAATATGGAAAGTAAAAATGGAATAGAAATCCGTTCCTTGTTTTCTCTAGTACCATTCTTCAGAGCAAACACTGTCATTAGCGACTTATGCACATATATTCTACAATTATATAAAGATATATAAACATGTTTTTGGAAACAAATGGAACCATATTTTACATACTAATCCATAACGTGAATCTTTATTTAAATATATTTTGGACATATTTCCTCACTAGGAAATATAGACGTCTTCATTCCTTCTAACGGTTGCATCAGATTTCACTGAATGAACATACCAAAATTAATTAATGAATTGCCTAGTGAAAACATTTAAAAAATCATACTGAAATGAATACACACACAGAGAGAGAGAGAGAGAGAGAGAGAGATGGGAGATACTCTGGTGAATTTGTTTCTATAGACAGAACAACTGTGCTTGAACGAGTTCGAGTATAGAGAAGAATTCTAGTTGATGAACACTGGCAGGTTTCCACATTCTCCAGTGTCCTTCATCAAAACTGCTTAAAAGATTAAGGGAAAAGATGAGGAATAGGACAAAGCATGTAGTTAAGCAAGCATCTCTTTAAATCTACTAGTTACCTAGCACTTCACTAGGAACCAAGCAAAACAGAATAATAATATATATTTATTGAATGTCCATTATTCAATAGGAACTTCATATAATTTTCTCTGATTACACTATTTAATTTGCTACTAATTCAATGAGGATGGTACTATTATCATCCCCATTTATAGAAGTGGAAACTGAGGCCAAGATCATATAGCTGGAAAGTGCTAAAGTTGGAAAAGAGTTGGTCTTAATCATTGTGTTTAATATCATTTGTTTCACCATAGCAGCCTTAAAAAAAAAAATTATACTAGAATAAGAAATGGAAAGCCAGAATAAAACATTTCTCTGTTTTCCAACTATCAGTAATGTCTAGGTTCCAAGTAAAATGTAATCTTTTTGTCAAGGCAAAGGTATAGAAAGGAGCTAAGATATTGATATGTTGAAGAAGTAGAAAGGGAAAATAGTAGAGTGCACATTATATGGACCAACTAACCCTAACACCTTGTTGGAAAAGCATTATACTATACTATAACGAAAAAGCAAACTGTCCATTGGCAATCAATTTTCTTTGATTTCTAGACACACTGGTGATGAGACTCAATGCTACTGATGCAGATGAACCAAATAATTTGAACTCAAAAATCGCCTTCAAGATCATAAGACAGGAACCTTCTGATTCACCAATGTTTATTATCAACAGAAACACTGGAGAAATTCGGACGATGAACAATTTTCTAGACAGAGAGGTAATTTCTTTTTCTTTGAATGGGTTGTTAGTCTCAAAGGAACTGATTCTGAAAGCAAGAGTACCTAAGAGAGAAAAAAAAACAATATTTTAAAATTTTAATTACATAACATTTTCACATATGGTAATGACATAAGAAATCTCTTTAAAATGAAAAAATGGGAATTCCTCAAATACATTTTATACTGTCATTTTTCATTTAATTTAATTAGGATTTGCCTCAATTTGAGAACACTGCATTTTGAGAATACATAAAAATATACATAAGGTAGAAACAAATGCTCCATTTTTTTAAAAAATTGTGTTCCATAATGAAATACATTTAAGAAACAATTGCTATTATGTCCCCCATCTTGGCAAGTCACAATGCATGTGAACACGATAGAAGCTCTGAGAATTTTTACAAGCTAAGAAACTTGTTCCTCTTTCTTTAACCCAGCATATCCTAAGCACATTTGACAACAGAACTCTTTTTTTTCTTCCTATGTCGCACCTACTGACAGTCCTCTGATTACTTTGGGAAATAATAACAGGATCAGAATGATAGATAGGAATTAAGTAACATCCAAACCAATCTTTTCATTTATAAATAAGAAAATAATTAGTGACTGTTACCAAATTAGAATCAGCATTACATGGTTTCTATCACGCCATGTGGTCCCATAAATTAATTTAAAAATATCAAATTTTTCATTATTTTTAAAATATTGATAGAATATAGCTGACCTGCATGTATTTTAGGGATATAAGTGAAGTTATATTTTCTAATTAGTACTCAATTAAATTTTATTTTAATTATTATAGTTATTTTGAAATGATATTCTCCCTGCTCATGAATCCTAGGTGTAGGATAAATCAGATTATTTTTACACTCTTTAATGATCTAAATGCCATCAGTTTCTAGGTTACCTAAATCTCCTTTTTTTACTTGTTTGAAAATTACTATCAGAAGAAATTGACTATTTAGCTTTTCTCTCTGAAACTGGCTTAAAGAGCCAGTGGGATTATTAAAAGGGTTTTAGTGGTGAAGAGCTCTAAAAAGTAAAGGAACTCGGTGGTCACTGGGAAGCCACTGGAGCAGATATTCTTAACTTGGGTCCATGGAGAGACCTCAGGATGTCTCTATGAATCCCTAAAATTATATCCACAATTTTGAAGGAGTATGTATATATGCATGTGTCTGGGAAAGGCTCTGTAGCTTTTACCAGCTTCTAAAAATTTAAGCACCCCCTTGAGTAGCATCAAGAACAGATACATCATCTATAATTCCACTGCCACAACCTGCCGCACCCCAAAACGCAAACTATTCATTATCCCTTTATTCTTCTTGTGTACTCAGGGGCTGATTATTTGAGTATGGAATTTTCATACCATAAATCCTTGGTAAACCTTAATCTCGCTCCTCCTGATCATTTTGGTCCACTTCACCCTTTATAAATTTTTTCAAGCCCTGGACATATAATAAAAAATGAGCCCTTTAAAAAATGTTGCTTCTTTTAAATGATGCTGGATAAGCATTGTTGAGAACGCAATTGGCAACTTCCATATTGATGAATGTGAGATTTGTGGATTTTTCAATATTCTGTGTGACCCCACCTCCATCATAGACTTATGTAAATGTTGAGCCAATGTTTTACAAGAACTTTGTGTGAGACAGAATAAGGACTGTCTACATCAACTGTGATATTGTTTGTAATGTGAATTTTTAGCAATACAGCCAGTATTCTCTTGCTGTAAGAGGCTCAGACCGAGATGGCGGGGCAGATGGAATGGCAGCAGAGTGTGAATGCAGCATTAAAATCCTCGACGTCAATGATAACATCCCATACATGGAACAGCCTACAGTAAGTATTTGTCCTTGAAATTAATCACTTTAAACTCGTTACACTCTAAAATTTGGTCTAACAACTCTATTTACAGATAGACATGTTCTCTTTAGTCACATACAGCCCAAATGTAGACATGTACTTTTTCTCATGTTTGTTAACGTAATAGATAGAAAAAAAACAAATTTGAACAACGAAAAGTGCGACTGTAAACACAGATCCCTTTTCTAAATAATGACTAACTATAAACATTCTAGTATAAGTCTAGTAGAGTGCTTCTCTCACTCACACAGTTCGTGTTAAGACTTTTCACTTTCTTTTTCAGTATAAAATCAGTATCGAAGAAAATGCTCTCAATTCAAATTTGCTCCAGATTAGAGTAATCGATTTGGATGAGGAGTACTCAGCTAACTGGATGGCAGTCATTTTCTTTATCTCTGGAAATGAGGGAGGTTGGTTTGACATAGCAATGGATGAAAAAACAAACATAGGAATTTTAAAGGTTGTTAAGGTACAGTATAATTATCCTAAATATTTTGTTTGCTTGATCTTTTTCAAATGTTAATCTTAAAGTAAAATGATGCTACTATTTCACAAACTTGAGTGGGTAAGAGAGTGAGAAGTACTGTTTTAAAATGATATATGAGATAGAGCTTTTTTATAAAGAGTTTTTCTGCTTATATCCATGAAAACAGGCATTGAACTGTAACCTGAAACTCTTCTATCAATACAGTACTCCCTCACAGATCATATAAATTGAAAGCATTTTTAAACATGAATCTTATTTTAAGCTTACAAAAAAGTATGATTAATCCTTAAGGTTTTGTTTTAGATGTTTAAAGAATATTTTTTTAAAAGCAGATTTAACATGGCCTTAAATAAGAAGTGTCCATGTCAACATTTCATGTCAATTACTTTTTACTAAGAATGTTCAGCATGTAAATTAAAAGTTGCTTATTCCCCCAATGTAGTGTTTTTTTGGTTTTTGGGGTTTTTTTGGTGAGGAAGATTGTCCCTGAGCTAACATCTGTGCCAATCCTCCTCTATTTTGCGTATGGGTCACTGCCACAGCATGGCTTGTTGAGTGGTGCATAGGTCTGCATCCAGGATCTGGACCTGCAAACCCCAGGCTGCTGAAGTGGAATGTGCGAACCTAACACTACATCACTGGGCCAGCCCCTCCAATGTGTTTTTCTAAAATTAAAATTAAATTACTGTAATTGTAGGATTATCACATTCCCATCTCACTGTGGCTGCTGGCCAAGGCTTATTACAAACATAAATATACTAGAGATTTGGTCCAAGTCAACAGAGTTCTCCTATGTCCCCCCAACATTAATGATCCACCACATTTACCTGCAGTAGAATTTCCTCTGAGATGTGAGAAGAGAAATGTCTGACTCCTAGGGAACCAATAGCGAAGGTTTCACCCTGTGCTACAAGACTTGTTGAGTCTATTTTTTAAATCTTCAATAGCTGTGCATAGATTGTATGTGGATTGTGGGTGATGCATGCAATATATTTTCTTCGGGGTAAAATATAATCCCTTTTTAACTATTTCCTTTCTTCAGAATAGCCCTGGGAAATAGACTCCTAAGAGTCTATTAGACTATAGACTATTAGACTAAATAGACTCCTAAGTCTGTCCCCATAGGAATGTGTGTCTTTATAAAGTGTCTTCAAAAAGTGTCACCATGCCTATAGCTTCCATTTACTGAGGCAGTGTGTGAATGCTTTAGTTTATTCCTCACAGCATCCCTGCACATTAGGTTATATGCTCATATGGCAGATAAATACACTGAGGTTCAGAAAGAGTACATAATCTGCTCAAATTCTCATAGCTAGTAAGTGTACAGCTGACATTCAAACCTAGGTTTCTCTAGCTATTAAGTTCATATTCTTTCCATTATACTATCTAGGATTCCATGCTGGGAAAACAGAATCCTAATCTATTTCACCCCAAATTACTGCGTTGCTTCAGAAAATTAGTCTATCTGTTCCCAATATCTCTATCTGTAAATGACAACGATGTTGATTTTTATCCCAAATGTGACATCATACATTAATTCCTTTGTTGTGAATACATATATGTAATATATGCGTGTGTGTAATGTATATATACATGATTTTATACCCATTCTTGAAACTGCAAATAAAGCTGACATTAGAGCAAAGATTGGAAATTTTAGCTAAGTGTAGAGTTCAATGTGTGAATCAGTGGTCATCTAAATTACTCTCATGTGAAAATTTAGAAAAACATATTTGGTGCTTATGATCATAATGCATAGTTTTTTGTGGATTTTATTAGTAGTGGATATTGACACCATCTTTCATAATGAAAATGACTACTTCATTTTAAAATATAATTTTTCCTAGAATATATAGAAGAAAATAAGGATTTCTTTTTATTATTTATATGCTACAATCTATTACCTGACTTACTGAAAGAAGTCACATTTACAGAAGTAAAATTTCTAAGTAGTTCTTTATGGATAAAAATCAGTCAAATGATTGAACCTAAGATGTATTCGGCCCATACTTTGTAATAAATAGAGCTACTTTCTAAGAAACCAGAAATGATAGAAGCTAACATAAACTGTCTTTGTACTACAAAATGCATGGATTTGACCAAGTATATTGAGTTTTTAAATTGTTTGGTGGACAATCGTCATACATTTTTAACCATTTCAACAAAGGATCTAAGACAATTGGATTTTTTTCCCACTATATTTTCATTTGTTTGTATTGAATTAAAGATAAAGTAAGTAAGAATAGATTGTGTATTTATATATATTTATGTTTCCTTAAACAAAGCAGGCCAGCCCCAGCGGCCTAGTAGTTAAGTTTGGAGGCCCGGGTTCGGTTCCCCAGTACAGACTCACACCACTCATCTGTCAGGGGCCATGCTGTGGTGGCAGTTCACATAAAAAAGAAAAAGGGGAAGATTGGCAACAGATGTGAGCTCAGGGTGAATCTTCCTCAGCAAAAAAAAAAAAAAAAAGACATAATTTTTTGCCGATTAACAAAGGATTTCTCTTTCTTCTGGAATGCTTTTTCTTCTTAGAGTAAAACTCTTTCACTGTGTATTTTCTAGCCCCTAGATTATGAAGCTATGAAGAACCTGCAACTTAGTATTGGTGTGAGAAATAAAGCTGAATTTCATCCTTCAATTATGTCTCAATATAAACTCACAGCAACTGCGATCTCCGTGACTGTGTTAAATGTAGTGGAAGGCTCAGTGTTCCGTCCAGGTTCAAAGACATATGTAGTAACTAGTAATATGGGACAAAATTATAAAGTGGGAGACTTTATAGCTACTGATCTGGACACAGGTCTAGCTTCAACAACTGTTAGGTAAGACTGACATTTTCCAACTAATTTTCACCACATATTGAGCTTAAGTATCTATGTTCTTTTTAGAAATTTTAAGTATCTGAATTAAAACATTTTTCATTAATTTTGAAACTACCATCCAATCATAAAAAGTACTAACTACTGAACTGTTGCTTAATTTAGAGTGTTTAACTTAAGAAAATATAAAAATGTGTGCAAAATGTAAGATGTAAAAACATAAAGACACAAAATGTGGAAAATATTGTATCTTGAAAGTTTGACACCCCTGTGTTTACATATTTTATTTACCAATTAGCTGACTCCCACATATCATGGTTGTTCCCCTTAGAAGATTTTACGGACTGATTTTCCCAGTGCAAATTTGCCAGATTGAAATCAATTAGATTTAGTTAGTTCATTTCAGTTACTTTCTTCACTTTAATCAACACTTAGTATTAGTCAATAATAACTTTGGTATAAAAAATTAGTTTTATTAAGGAAAAAGTATGCTATGTAGTTTTTTAAAACTCTGTATATCCAAATATTTCTACTTGACCATGACAAATCTGTGTGTATCTGTGCACCTGTATTTTTCTTGTGTGCTTGCGATCAAGAATAACAGAGGGGGGAAAGACCTCACAAATGAGCTTTAAAAGTTCTTTCTCTGTATTCTCTTCACACCATGTGAGTATTTCTGTTATAGCTCTTATCACACTGTATCACCATTGCTGATAAACTCTCTTATACCCCACAGATGTGAGTTCACTGAGGGCAAACAACCCTCCACCCTACCCCTGTCTCCTCTCAGAAGTTCCATCTCCCTGAGTTTAGCACAGTGCCTGAGACAGTTATCTAACCAGTGGTTGTTTAACAAATATGTAAATGAGAAGGAAAACATCGAAGTCAAAGATGAAGAGAGAAAGAGAATAGAATAAGATAGAGGCACAAGGCAAAGACATGGTTTGGAATTCAAAAGAAGTCCTGTAAAGTCATTGCGTATATGAGGAGGGAGTGGAAATAGGGAGGGGATGAAGGCTAAGCTGATGAAGGAGAAATAACTTCTTTGGTAAGAGAATAGTTTAGAATTAGGAGCAGCCCAGGAAGTCCCAAGATCTGGGTCTTCCAGGATAGTTCTGATGCTACCAAAATCAAATGAAAATGAGACTGCGAGCCTCGAAGATTATTCTGACATCCACATGGGCATAAGAGGCATTCCGCCAGAAGTGGCTGCTCAGTAATTCTTTTTTTCTTCAATTTAAATCTTTGTCTATTTCAGAATGTCCTCAAACAGCTGGGACTGCCCTGGAAAAATCAAGTCTCTAATAACTGATAACTGTATCCAGAGGTTATAACTACTGATTGAAAACACACATTTCATAATTAAAATCTCTCTCTCTCTTTTTTTTAGATAGCCAACATTAATTTGTACTGTTTTCTTTCAAATACAGATATGTAATGGGAACTAATCCGACTGACTTGCTTGCCATCGACTCAAAAACGGGCATAATTACTTTGAAAAATAAAGTTACCAGGGAACAATATGACCAGCTTAATGGAAAATACCAAGGAACAATTCTATCTATAGATGGTAAGAAATCAATTTAACTTTTTCCCATCTAGAGGAAGTTATATATACACTCAGAAATTAAAATTTTAATTACTGTGTTTTGAAGTAACTCTTTTTTACAACAAAAGTTAACATACTTGGCATTATAGAATCAAATCATTAATGATATGAGAGGCAGTATGAGTTAGTGGATAAGACCATGAGCTCTGGAGGGAGACTGGATTGGCTTCTTATACCATCACTGACTAGCTATAGGATTTTAGAGAAGTTATTTAACTCATTTATCCCTCAGTCTTCTCTTCTGTAAAATAGGACAATAATGAAATGGATTTAGAAGGATTTAAGGAGTTAGTACACGTCAAGCACTTAGAAGAGTACTGACATTCAATAAATGCTAGTTCTTACTAATGTCGGTAACTGAAATTTTTAAATTGTATTGTAAAATTATTTTCAAATAGTTAGGCTGGAAGCCAAGCTAATTTAACTTTACATAATCTTGGGAAAGTTGATGTACAACTTCATATAAACAATTTGGAGGTGGCATGGTTACATTTCTTTTCAAAACCAACAAAATTAAACAGGTTGGCCATTAAAGGAGCAAAGTTCCTCGAGGATGATCTACTAAGCAATATTTGCTACTCCAATTCCTCTTCCTCCCTCCTTTCTCCTTCTCTCCCTTTCTTTCTCCCTCTTTTCCCTCTTTCAATTGTCCTAAAAAGGGGTTGACGATTTCTATTTGCATAATGGATTAAAAAGAAATAAAATAGCATTTCTTTAAAGTCATTCAACAATTCAGAATTTTTACCAAATTATACTGCTCTTCTCCACAATCAGTCAAAAGAAATGTCGTTTTTAAACTATATTTGAGAAATGCTGATTCCATTCATAGATAAAGCTTGTTTTGATTCAGTGCTGAAATTATCTTAAGCAATTGCTACTTTACTTCTTTTCTTACATCCAACATCAAACTTAATTGGATACGTGAAGGGAAAATTGGAACTTTTGCTTACAAAACTGTTAGGCTTATGGTAAATAGAGAGCATTCCTTTTGTCATCAAAAACTGCAACCTTCTGGGGGATAAATATTACATGCAATGACAGGGATAAAAATAGCAATAAAAACGATAACAATAGAATCAGCATAGCTGAGCTGAGAGGGCATGGGCTTTGATATCAGAGAAACTGGATTTAAACTTGTCTTTGTTATGTACTTCCAGGGATATCTTTATTCATTTATTCAGAAACTATATATTGAATCCTAACCAAATGCCAGCCATTGTGACAGGTGCTAGGGTTACATCAATGGACCAAGTCTGACAACAGAGCTAACATTTATACAACAGAGATAACAACAATAACTTCAAACACAACCATTCCTATATTTTTACCCAATTCCAATAATCTTAAGAAAAAGTCCTAAATATAAAAGGCTGAATGCACAGAGATGTTAATTATAGCATTATCTATAATAATTAAATATTGAAAGCAATATCGATAATAGGCAACTGGGTAGGTAAGCCATGGTCCACTTGATATGAAATCATGTAGCCATCAGAAACTATTTTAATGAAAAATTTATTTAAACGTGGAAGAATTCTTACAATGTAAAGTAAAAATATAAAATGGAATGAGCCATATGATCTATCAATGTAGCATAAATAACTAGCAAATTTGGGCATTATAGTTAATGCTAAAAGATAATATAACAACATATCAATAGGGGTTGTCCTTGGGTGGTGCTACTATGGGTCTCTTTTTGTCTTTGTTTTCGTTTTGCTTCTTTATATAATTCTATACTCTTCAAAATATATATAATATCCAACTACTTATAATGTAAAGAAATAATCCAATAAACAGTGTTACTAGTAATAGTAATAAGGTTAACTGTAATAATGATTCAAAAAGTTCTTGAGAAAATTATATGTTATAACACATGTAAAGTGCCTTGGCAGGTACATAAATATTGTTACTTCTCTTCCCTTGCCATTGGGAAAAATATACTTAGCTTTAGATTATCTGAGTTTATAGACGGGAGTAGTATAGCATGTATACAATTTGAAAAATAAATCACATTTTCTTTCAAAAAAAACATATGCTATAACAATTTTTGCAGTAAACTTAGCTTCATAGATATGGGTTGCAGAGTATTTAAAAGATTAAATGCTTAAAATATTAAAAACAATCTACATGGCTCAAAACATTTAAGGTAGCAAAAAAAAGGGGCTGGGGCATGGAGGCATTGGGGAGATGTTGGTCAAAAACACAAACTTCCAGTTACAAGATGAATAAGTTCTGTGGATCTAATGTACAGCATTATGATTATAGATCACAATATTGTCCTATATACTTGAAACTCACTAAAAGAGTAGATCTTAAATGTTCTCAGCACACACAAAAAAAATGGTAATTATGTGACATGATGGAGATGTTAGCTAATACTACAGTGGTAATCATATTGTAATATATAAGTATATCAAATCAACACATTGTACACCTTAAATTTACACAATATTATATGTAAATTATGGTATCTCAATAAATTTGAGAGAAAAAGATAGCAGAAAAAACGGTTATCATGGAATTTTTAAAAATTGTTTCAGCCATAACTACATATAAATAATTGCATGGGCTATAGAAAAGAATAATGTTCCATCAACATCATTCCTACCCTATAGCAAGAATTATTATTACCAAATCCAGTCAGAGCCCCAGAGTCATGACAAATTTCTAGCCTAATAGCAGATGTTGGTGAAGAACCTTTCCTATATGGTAGACGCTAGACTTTGGAAGTCTTATCTCTGAAGGAGAAAGAAATCACACCTTGAACTTTCAGTATTGTGGTTTTTCTGCAGTGAGCAATTCCTAATTGTGGACTATCACATATTCAAATCCTATGGAAAGTAGATAGTGCAGATACGATGAATGAATCCCTGTCAAGGTAATTTAGGAGAGAATAGTTAGAATAATTGCACACAAAAAACAAATACAAGGGGCTTCCATTCATTTAAATAGCATGTGGAATATGGTGACTTTATTTATCTAAGGTGAATAACCACAGCAATGTGTTTTCAATATTGGTCTGAGCAACTTTTCTCATTTAAGAGTATCTTTTTTATCTCCTCTCACATATACTATTTTTTTAACATTGTTACAGAAGATATAATTATTCGATAGCTTTTAATGAGCTAATTTTGTTGCAAGATAAGGACACAAATATCTATTCAGATGTGTTTCTTATTCAACTTTGTTAAGATATAATTTACATATAATTAATACACTCTTTTTAAGTGTATGGCTTGATGAGTTTTGACAGATGTATACATCCATATATACACTGCCACAAACAAGATCTCGAACATATTCACCACAGTGAACAGTTCCCTCGTGCCCCTTTGCAGTCAGTACTACAGCTCCACTTCAGCCCCAGGCACCTGCTGGTCTACATGTGGATGTATTTTGAGGGACCACCTTTTGTATCAAATGTACTCAAAATCAGTCTACTCTTGAAATACTAGTTGGTTGCTTGGTTGGTTAAACGAAATAAACAGCAAATGTGAAGCAATTAAGTTGAAACAAATAATAAATGTCCCTACCACTGTGTTTAGTCAGCAAACACAATAACTCACTGAAACTTTGAAGGACAAGAAGAAAACAAATTTGAAATACCTGCTTGTGAAACAAAAGTGCTTCACTTTGTTATTGATATGAAGATTTCCCCCCACCTCCAATAGCGCAAATTCTCTCTCCTATGAGTTATTTGAATTGTTGGTTGTGAGTTTGGGGATATGCTCCTTTACCACTAGGAGATTTTTGTAGAAGTGACTTACCAACCTGCTCAAAATCTGTTCATTTTGTCAGCCCATAAAAAGAAAAAAATGAACAAGAACCAAAGATGAAAGACAGTAAAACAACAAACAAAATGTAGCTCTACTATATGGAGAAGTGTGCCAAAAATAGTCTAGAAATGCCTCCACTATGGCTTATAACACACCACTGGCCAATTCATAATGTGGCATTTACTTTTTATGCTTCTCAACACATGAGACAGTTTTTCAGGAGCACTAATATTCATAATGGTTTGATTTAAAAATTGAGTCAGACAAGGGATATTTGGGGAGTTACTAAGCTGATGGGAATAAAGACATTGAAATAAGTATTGATGCAAAAAAGAAATAATTTTGTATTGTCCAACAATTATTACACTAAACGTATAAAATATTTCTTCCATTTTGAACCTTGTTACAGATGCTCTTCAAAGAACTTGTACTGGTACAATTATTATTGACCTTCAAGGCTCTGGCTGGGAAGTTCGTCAATCTAGTACAACAGACAGTGATAACACCAGTACTGGAGGTGGTGCCGGTACTAGCACAGGGGAGGATACTTCCACTAGTCCCGTCATTGGTCCTGATGCAGGAAACAATGGCAATAGCCAAACAACTACTTCTCAGGCAAATGGGGACAATGGTGAAAGGCAATCACGCTCCGATAATGTACATTTTGGTCCTGCTGGTATTGGACTACTCATCTTGGGATTCTTGGTCCTTGGATGTAAGTATTTTAACAGTCCTATTTCTATGTGCCCCCTAAAAAAACTGTGGGGAGAAGATAAGTTTTCTGATCCTTTGATAAAATATATTTTACAAATTCTTATTTTGTGCAATTATCAAGAAATTTCTATGTTTGGTGCTGGGTTTAAAAGAAGAAAAAATAAAACTGCTTAACCCCTTATACTGCAGTGGAGAATAAAAACTTTTTTGCATTCCTTCTAAATGTAACGGGAAAGTGTCATGACAGGTAGGTTCAAATCGCTGTTTGATTGAAGAAGACAATCAGAAACAATTGATTGAAACAATCAGAAAAGGCGAAATAGAGAAAGTAAACTCTGAGTTGGGTGTTAACAGATGAATAGGAGCTAGCCTGATGGACAAGAAAAGAGGAACACTATGAGGAGAAAAAAGTCTACGTGCAAAACTCCCAAAAGAATGAGTGCAAGTTACTGAAATAAAGGACTCCAGTGTGGAAGAAATAAAGGATGTGCATGACTGCATGGTGAGAGTTGAGACTAGAAAGATAGGCAGGGGCTAGACCTTCAAGAAATTTCATGCTATGCTAAGGCTACATAGTCTAATGACAGGAGAGTCAAATAGACATAGACTTAAACTCCAGCTTCTAAGTTTGAGTCTTTCAAAGGCTACCTAAATTTTCTGAGCTTCACTTTTGTCATCTGTGAAATGAGACTTATCTCCAACATTGCTTTGGTGTTGAAAAAAGTAGTACCACACATGAAAGCATTTAGAGATAAATCACATTCTGTGGTCATTAGAGTAGACCTCATCAAAGATCTTGCCATGAGCATATAAGGTTCAAAGGATTCTCCAGGTGGTCCCTAACATTGCCTTGGATGAGGACAGAAATTAGAGTGGAGATGAGCTAGATGCTACAGTCTCTGAGGAATGAGAAGGGGAGCTGTGAAGTTAGTAGGTTGAAATCTGCACATTATAATGAAATTAATGTAAATATTGCCATTTTCAAGTATAGAATCATAAAATCTTAGTGTCAGAAGATACTTCAGATATTATTTAATTAAAACATGCACACATAAAATACTTCTCACTAAATTTATTAGTAAACTGGATTTTCTCTGATTTTAAATAACTTTCACCCTTTTGAACTTTTTGATCAAAATTGAATTCATCTAAACAACAAAGAGTTTGGACACGCTGATAACATGGCTTAAATTTGAGACTCTTTTTCCATAATTTGAAACATATTTCAAAAAGCAAGAAATTTCTATATTAAACAATATGATTTCATTCTTATTGGCTCATAAAAAATTGAAATAATGACCATGGAAAGTTCTATGAAAGGGAGAAACAAGGCTAAAAGAAGAAAGTATTCTCAGCAAAATGAACCAAAGCAAGAAAAAAGCTAGCAGATTTGCAGAATGTAACATAAAATATATATGAGAAGAGATAATTCTCTAATTTCACTTCTTTAGCCATAATTATCAACCAACATTTTAGAACTTTAAAATTAAATACTTTATAAAAGTAACTTAATTACCCTGCTGCTGATTATCTCTATTGCCAGGAATATATGACTTTCACTTCGAGTTTGTTTTTTATATTGGTGACTACCTTTGGGTAGTGTAATTAATAAAAAATTTAAAAATTATATATGGGCTATTGGGGCTGGCCCAGCGGCATAGTTGTTAAGTTCGTGGGCTCTGCTTCAATGGCCTGGGGTTCACGGGTTCGGATCCCGGATGTGGACCTATGCACTACTCATCAAGCCATGCTGTGGCAGCATCCCATATACAAAATAGAGGAAGATAGCACAGATGTTAGCTCAGGGCCAATCTTCCTCTGCAAAAAAAGAGGAAGATTGGCAATGGACGTTACCTTGTGGCCAATCTCCCTCACCAAAAAAATTACAATAAAAAAATAAAAATTATATATGGGCTTTAGAGTCAAATGCTTCTAGAGTCAAAGCTATCTCTAAGCCTAGCATATATTCAAGAATGAGATTCTTGTCCTGCTTGCTTTCTTTCTTTCCTCTCTTCCTTATTACTCTCCTCACTACATTCCTTCCTCCCTACCTTGCTACCTTCTTTTTTCCTTCCTTCCTTCCTCCATCACATTTTTTATTTACACATTCTTTCCTTCATCCATCCATTAATTCCAAATCATTTATCAAGATTGTATTATGTAAAAGGCTCTGTGCTAGAAACTTATATAGATAAATAAGAAAAATCCAATGGATTAAGAAAAAAAGACATCGTTAAGCAGTGTAATGTTCTCTATTTTTGCGTGAGTAATTTCAAGACAAGATATCCTTGTAGGGGAAAATAATAGCCTCATAGAGAACAATTGCTTGAAGCATGAATAAGATTTTACTGTTGAAATAAAAAAGGCAGGCATATGAGAAAAGAGAAAAGAGAAAAATAAAGGCATGGAGGAGGGAACACAAAGAATCAAACATGTTGCCTCCCTCTCCAGCTTTTCTTCTTCTCTCCTTCACCATTTTCCTGAGTAATGATAGGGAAAAGACTCATCCGTTTTAATAGTGTAATGCTATTTGTAATTTGAATACTATATAACAAATTAAACTTGATTACAGTCTAGTATACTGACACTCACATTGATTTTGGTATCTTACCATTATTTAGTTTTCTGAAACTTTCATCATAATTTTAGAATCAAATGGAGTTACATTAGGGCTTCAAATTTAATCATAAAAATGCAGGTTGTTTTGTTTTAATATGGCCCCACTGCTAATTCCAATATTCTTATCCTTTCACCCTCAGTGGTCCCATTTTTGTTGTTGTTTTGTGATTGCGGCGGTGCCTCTGGTGGAGCCGGCTTTGAGCCTGTTCCTGAATGTGCAGATGGGGCAATACAGCCATGGGCGGTAGAAGGACCGCAGCCTGAACTCAGCGTAAGTGCTAATCTGTGAGAAATGCGTTTGGTCATCACCTAAACTCAGTCCGAGGCACACAAACCAAGATGTCTGCGATCACTCTGTCTATGCTGTTCTTTGTTCTGAGGTAGCCAATGAGGAAAATGAAGAGACATCAAAGGTACATCAAAATTAAACAGAAGCAACCAGGGAAGGCTTTCTACATGAGGTTCAGGATTAAATTAATTTCACAAGTTTCCTAAATACTATTCTTTTAGAAAATCTGAGGTAATTTGAGAACAAACCCAATGTATAACTGTAGAAAGAAAAGAGTCATTACAAAATGTTGTTTCCTGTCTTTTAGGATTTGACCACTATCTGTGCACCACAAATACCACCCGATAATGCAAATATAATTGAATGCGTGGGCACCTCAGGTGAGGAAAAATTATTTTTTTATTTTAACAGCTCAAATGACTAAGAAGGAACTCTGTTCTCTGTCTTTGCATGCCTTACTATTTCTCAATTATCTTGTCTCTAAAATTGTTTCTATCACTCCTTTTTAAATGATTAATTCGCAAATTAAATGGTAAGGAAAAACCTACAATAATTAGGTTTTATTTTTTAAATCTTCCTCAATCATCAGAGAGTACTTAGGAAATGACCTGGTTAGGACTTCTCCTATTTATATAGGAGAGAAGAACTGAATTGTAACCACAAGTCAATTTTGGTCGAGGTTTTTTGTCTAATAGAGCAAATGTTATTTACCAAAAAAATACTAATTAGACTTAAAGTACAACCTTATTAAAATAGGTCTGTGCTCATTTATTGAGGCTAGAATCTACCTCCACAATTCATTAATAATTTAAAATCACTCTAATAAAAAGAACAATTAATTTTAAAAACTCATATCTTTGAAAATAGTTGTACCATTTTGCCTTTTTCCAGGTAAATATTCTTGATTCTCTTATTTTCCTCTTTTTCAAACTTGCAATCATGACTTTTCTATTCTGAACTCTTTAAAATAGAAGAGGCATAGGAATGTTTGTAACGTGTGGAATGGAACTGGACCTTATTCAAAAGACTGGACATGCTAGTCTTAATTAATTTTTTGTGTGTGTGTGTGAGGAAGATCAGCCCTGAGCTAACATCCGTGCTAATCCTCCTCTTTTTGCTGAGGAAGACCAGCCCTGAGCTAACATCTATTGCCAATTCTCCTCCTTTTTTCCCCCAAAGCCCCAGTAGTTGTATGTCATGGTTGCACATCCTTCTAGTTGCTGTATGTGGGACGTGGCCTCAGCATGGCCAGAGAAGCAGTGCGCCGGTTCGCGCCCGGGATCCGAACCCGGGCCGCCAGTAGCGGAGCGCGCGCACTTAACCACTAAGCCACGGGGCCGGCCCAGGACATGCTAGTCTTTAAACCTATTTCTCCTCCTGATGAATCCATTTTTGTTAATGACATCAACATCCCCCCACCTCAAAAGCAGAAACTCATTGTTGACTCTTATATCTCCTTATTCATTGACACCCAATCAGTTCTCAAGACTTGCCAAATCCTCTAGCCCACCAGGATTTATTTATGCATTTATTCTATCATTATGTCTACAAACCTTTGCATACACCTTGAACAAAGCACAACGAGAGGCACCAGAGTCATAGAAGTATGAATAACACACTGTCCCTAAGCTCAAGATCTTTAAAATATTAAAGCCATAGGACACCTATCCCACTGTCAACACTTTGTCCATGGCACTTCCATAGACTTGGCCATCATTTTATCCCACCTACCTCGAATATTGTAACAGGCTTCTACTCATCCCTCACGTCCAAGTGCAAATCCAGGATTCTCCATGCAAACCTTTCCCCTCACCATAGCTATGGCCTCTTCTCTGAAAGCCAGCGGTTCTCACACCTTCTTCTGGAGGGCCTGTGCTTCTAATAACACATTGGAGTATTCTTACACACTATTTTTTTAACTTTTAGAATTTGGGTATTTTTCCCCAATTGGAAATCAAGCTCCCTAAGGCATAGGTTTTTGTAAGCTCTATGCAGCCCCCCATTCCAGCACAACATATAGCAGTTTCCCAACAAATAATTACTGAATAAACAAATTGATTAATAATATTATTTTGAACTCAATATTATATTTATATCTCCTTTCTTTATATATTGCCTTCATTTTATGTCTTTGCTCACAAATGTGTACTTTAGTAAAGAAACCATACATTACAGTAAGTGATTAATTTTTAGTTTACAATACACTAGAGAAAGTAAATTTAATTTAATCAAAACTTTTAGGGTTTTACACAGATGCGTATGGTGGCAGAGAAATGCATGATCTGGCAGGAGGAGAAAGAACGACAGGATTTGATCTAACAGAAGGAGTTAAAATGTCAGGAGCACGTGATATATGTCAAGAATATTCTGGAACATTAAGAAGAAATTCTGTGAGGGAAGGTAGAGAAGGAGGTCTGAATATGAATTTCATGGAAAGTTACTTCTGTCAGGTAAGGTCTCTAGTGCCATGCCTTCCTCTCCATCCCGTACCTACTGCTCCAGTCCAGGCTTCCACTGTTTCCCGATAGGGCTTTGGCAGATGTCTCCTAACCAGGTTCTCAGTCTCTGGTCTTTATGCCTGACAGTCTGTATTGCTGCTGAAAAATATTTCTAAAACTCTGACCTAAGCACTTTACTCCCCCACTTAAAAATGGCCAATGGCTCCCAGCTCTGCTTTGTCTACAGTACGGAGTCCAAACTCCTTCACATGCAATTAAAGTTATTCACAAATTGACCCCTTCCTTCACATTTCCAATTACTCCTTACCACCAACCCACTTGCCAAGAGCCTCTGCCTTACTCACACCAGTCTGTTCCCCTCCATGTCTTTGTTTATGCTGTGCCCATCCTGGCATGTTGTTCTCCCATCATATCTCTCACAAACTCCTACCCATCTTTCAAGACCCAGCTCAAATAGCACTGCCTCTCTGAAGTTTTCACTGTTAACCCTTTCATAGGGTTTATGTTTCCTTATCTGTATTTCTAGAGTACTTTGTTTATACGTTTTATAGAACACACCATTACTAAAATCTATTAGTTTGTACGTCTACCACTATGTTAGTGCCTCGTCCATATGTTCTCTACATTATGTTGCCAGTACCTAGCTCAGTTCCAGGTATATAGTAAACATTCAATAAGAGTGGGTTCAAGAGTCTTAGTACATTTCCAGAACATTCTAAGAACCAGCAAGAATTAATTTTGCTGTCCCCAGGTGGAGACAGAATTGGCTGTGGTTATTTACCATGTGATACTTAAGCCTTCAGGAATTTACTGTCTCTGATACATTAACGTCCTTCTAAATCCTGGCCTAAAGTATCTTAATTAACTCTCCTAATAGTTTAGAGGGTGGCTGATATTTTAAAATAAATACTAGTAAAAGCCTTTCAAATAGCAGTAGATAACAGTAAGAGGCCTGTTGCTGAAATCCATAGGAATAACTCCTGTCCATGTCTCCACAAATGAATATTATTTTCGGGAAAAGTACAATTCTGCCTCAAAACATTTGTACTTGTAGCTTCTTCTGCCCAGAACACTCTATCTCCCCTGTGACTTTATTCTATTGCTTTATGAGATGCCGTCCTTGATCACTCTATATAAAAGAGCAATCCCCATCACTCTATCCCTTACCCTGCACTTACCACCTCCTGAAAAATATGTTTATGTGTTGTCTGTTTCATCCTACTAAAATGTAAGCCCTATGAGTAAGGGATTTTATCTGGTTTTATTCATTACTACATTGCCAAGTCCCTAATAGAGTGTCTGACAAATAATAAGGACTCTATAAATATTTTTGAATGAAATGAATTGGTTTGCTATAAAGGTATTTCTGATATTTAACCTGAAAGTTTGCAATCCAATATTATGAACAGCAAAGATGAAATAAAAGTGCACATGTCTGTGGGCTTCCACTTTGAATTGAAGGAGATTCCATTTTTAAAAATTGTCTTTAGTCACCTTCAATTTTGAATCCAAAACGGGCATAGACCCAGAGTCAAATTTTCCCGTTGTTTTGCTGAAAAAGCCAAATTGAAATAAATCTTCACAGAACCATCATATGCACTCCATCTGAAGGAAGGAAAACAATCCTGAATAAAGCCAAATCAACTATGAACTAACTTTTTTAAACAAATTTAAAAAATACACAGTTTTTGTGTAACTCAAGTTCAGTATTTTTATATACCTCCTTCTATTTTGGTTACAAAATAATTCATGTGATTTTTTTTTTCGGTGCTTTTGTGTCCAAAGTGCACTATTATGAAGAAGTCCATCGAAATGAACTTTAAAAATCAAAATGTTTTATCAGAATTATAGTTAAAATAGTTTCTAACCAAATTCTTACAAGCAATTATATAATGATTTTTAAAGCATCTCTAGTAGATGTTAGAATTTTGTTTTATATATTCTTCTTTGGTAATGCCCTGGTAGAAAAAATAATGATGAGGACTTCTATTATTGTTAAATATGTACTCATAATTTCATTTTCTCTTTCCTCTACAAATTCAGAAAGCATATGCTTATGCAGATGAAGACGAAGGACGCCCATCCAATGACTGTTTGCTCATATATGATATTGAAGGTGTAGGTTCCCCTACTGGCTCCGTGGGTTGTTGTAGCTTCATTGGAGAAGACTTGGATGACAGCTTCTTGGATACACTGGGGCCTAAATTTAAGAAGTTGGCAGATATCAGCCTAGGAAAAGAAGTTGAATCATATCCAGACCCTGATCCCTCTTGGCCACCTGAAAGCGCTGAACTAATTTGCCCTCAGCCGGGAACAGAGCCCATTGTTAGTGGACACCCACCCATCTCCCCACATTTCGGCACTACCACAGTCATTTCTGAGAGCACCTACCCCTCAGGACCTGGTGTACAGCATCCTATACCTATTCCTGATCCTCTGGGCTATGGTAATGTCACTGTGACCGAGTCTTACACCACCTCTGGCACTCTGAAGCCCTCTGTCCACATTCATGATAATCGACAGGCATCAAACGTGGTGGTGACAGAGAGGGTGGTCGGCCCCATCTCTAGTGCCGATTTGCATGGAATGTTAGAGATGCCTGACTTGAGAGATGGGTCCAACATTATAGTGACAGAAAGGGTAATAGCCCCAAGTTCAAGTCTACCTACCACTTTGACCATCCCTGATCCTAGAGAGTCTTCAAATGTGGTAGTGACAGAAAGAGTAATCCGACCAACTTCTGGCATGATGGGCAGTCTGAGCACGCACCCTGAGTTACCAAATGCCCAAAATGTGATTGTGACAGAGAGGGTTGTCTCTGGCTCTGGCATAACTGGAATTAGTGGCCCAGCTGGGATAACTGGAGGCAGCGGTCTAGGCAGCAGTGGCCTGGTTGGCAGTGCAGCTGGAATAAGTGGTGGTGGCATCGGGCTGAGCAGCCTGGGAAGAGGCGGGGGCCTGAGTAGCAGCACGGGGGGGACGGCCACTATTGGCCACATGAGGGGCTCCTCTGACCACCACTTTAGCCAGACCCTTGGATCTGCCTCCCCTAGCACAGCCCGAAGTCGAATCACAAAATATAGTACAGTACAGTATACCAAGTAGCCAGGATCCCAGTACACTTTTCCTCAGTAATTGTGATTTAGGTTCAATTCCCACCACCAAAAAACTAACAATGTGATTTATGACGCACAACTAGGTGCTAAGATAATTGTGGAGCAAGGTGAGAAACCAGTGAGAAAAATAGATGGCAACGGTGCTGTTGGGCCAGAGCTCTCCTTAGCATTTGTAAACTTTTTCTTATGTTAATACTAGTGGAATCATGACAGTGAACTAAAACTTGAGACAGGGTCTTCTTTGCTTCTGTGTGGCCTGTAGTGTCACTCCAGCATGTGGAATAAGTAAAACTCGGTCATGTAAAAGCACTGGCCTGAAGATGGCAATTGGCATAATTCTCCTTGGCTGTATTGACTTGCCATGTAGCTCAGGCAATATTTAAAAAGAACTAAACATGCACTACGTGCTCATGTTTGTGGGAAGAATTTGAAATCTGTGCCAAATGTTGTCAGTTTCACAGATGATATAAATAAAAATCCAACCACATATTCAGACCAGGGTTAACCAATAAAGAAAAAAAATCTGGCTACATAGCCAAGTTCACAAGCCACCAAGCACACCTACCTTAATAATTGCACTAGATAAAATAAACCTCAATTTAGGAAATGTTTCCTGGGAAGGAAAATCTATTAGAAAGTGGCAACAGAGTGGATTTGTTTGCGATAAACTGGTAATGTCTGAGCCTGAATCTTGAGATGGGGCTTCAGCTAAAATTCCTATGGAGTCAAGGACTTTTGTGATTCTCGTTTGTATTTAGTGGTAGATGCGATATTGATGAATATTGCATCCTGGTGAGGTTGCAGGATATCACACTCATTTTCCCCTTTACCACTGTGGTTCTGACTTAATACAGAAAAACATGCCAAGTGTACTTCTCAGCTTGAAGCAAGTAACACCTGACATGGCTGTCATCACTAGTGGTAAATTACCTTCCAAGGAAGCAGATGGAAACCGTATTGTATTTTCAGATTGTATTTTTAGTAAGTGTTCTTCATTTATATCTAGCTCTTATTATACATCTCCTAAGCTAAAATGATTTACTTGAGCTGAGTTGTGAAAAAAAACCTGCAGTATGGTTAAGCTTTGGGGGAATTTTTTTAAGGGGATCTAAAAAAAGTTTTTAGAGCATGTAAAATGTTGAATGAGGAAAGTTAGACTTGTTTGATAAAGTAATACCATACTATTAGTTTTAATTGAGTTTAGTACTTTTTAACAACACTCTGCTGCTATTTTGAGGGATTCAACTAGGCAGTTTTAACAGAGTTGATGATATTGTGTTAACAAGAATGAAATTGTACTCGACAACCCATTTCTTTACTCTATCCCACCCACTAATTGACTTTTCTCACGAGCATAAATTTTACATTCCTGATTTGATTCGTCAACAAGTCCTTGATTGACATATGCTCCAATTTAGTTTCCAAATTACATAGTAAGATATTTTTCTAGCTTCAAAATTTAGTAATGTACTATTTATGATATGTCATTTCTGTGTGTTTTCTATATGGTATTACCTGGTTAAAAATCTCTAAATAGAATCAAAGCATTCTTAGAGGTAAATTCACTATTGCATGATGGAGGAATTTTTTTCTCTTTTCTAAATTCAGTGTTAATATGTGCTCACTAAGGTGAAACTGGATGTGACAAAATCTTTTAAGGATTTTTCCTCCCAATTATTCAAGTTTCCCAAGGTGTTACAAGATCAGAGAATAGTTATTCAACTTCCAACACTTGTCAAAGGGGGTGGGGGAGTGAATTATTTTACCTAGAGCTACTGTGCTCTATGTTATAGCTGATGATGTCAATATTTTCAGACCCACAATATACATCTTACTTTAGCTCTGTAGTCTATGTACAATTTTGGTAGTCTGTAGCATGCCAAAATGCAGAGATGTAAATAAAGTCATTCACAGGGAGTCATTCTTTTATTTCTTTCTCACATTTGGTGGGTTTTATTAATGATGGGTGATCTTTCCAGAAATAAAGTCAAAAGGTATTATGGAATTATATTTGAGTATGCCTGGGTCCAGGAGTTTGAAGGAATAAAAATAATTATTAATTAATTATTAGTTAATTCATTAAAAGGAATGGTATCTGACTACAGGTACTTGTTACTTACTTGTGACATAATCAGAAATGTTTTCTTAAGACTCCTGATCTCTTCCAGAAATGTTTTTAAGGTTGTCTAACAAATGCCATAGTGACCATCTTTAATAACTATTATTATTAAGATCTAATAGTTATGTAAAACCATGGGAGATTAAGAAAAAATGGCAGTATTAGTCACCAATCTTGAAAAGATACTTTCAAATCAAATTGCTTTTTGTTTTCAGGTTACACATTGATGTTTTAATTCTTTACTCATAATTTTTTAAATACATTTTGAAGACATCAGTGATTCTAACAGTCATTTAAAGCCATGTTATTTTTACAATGAACAACCTTTGGGCAGAATTTAATTCTTCTCTTTAGATGCTTTACTCTAACTCACAGACTTGAGGTCATTCCATAGACCTAAGAAAAGACATGGAAATTATTTCATTATAAGTGAATAGTTATAATTCAAATCCATGTTGCAAGCTGCATCTCAGATCAATTTATTCTTAAAAAAAGAGAAGGAATAAATAGTAATTTAAATGTTATGTATATATAGTTTTAAAACAAAGCATTTAATGTTTATAAAACATATGACTTTCTAAAGAGGTGTTTCTTTGGGGCAAAAACTAGTGTATCATAAATACTTTCCTGATTATTCAATATCAACCAAAACACCATCTTGAGCTAATTTTGACATTGAATTCTAGATATATCTGCTACATATTATTAGCTTCTATGTATGTTGCCTGATAAAACTGTATTTATACTGAAAAATTTACAGAAAAAGTGTCTATTTGTGGTTATTTATATGACTTCCTCTGCACATTTGTTCTACCATCACGTATAAAGTTTTTAGCCTCATAATCTTCATTCACTGTAATGTTCTAACAGAATTTTAATTACATACCTCCAGAAATTACATATTCACTCTAATTGGATGTTTTTAGTTATATGCACAATTCATTTCTAAATTTATACCAACATTTGAATGTCAGCCAGGATATAACATATATAAGACCCTTTGACTTTAGTAGGAGTTTAAAGGTGTTATAATCATTGGTTAAAATGGCCATGGTGATTTGGGAAAGACATTTGAAACCCAAAACAAACTTTTAAAAGTATTTGCCACATTTTCCCACACCTATTTAATAAATCTCAACCTTTTTTTGGATTCCTACTTCACATTGCACTAGAATACACGAGTCCACATAGATTACTAGTATCCATGAAATAAAATCTGTCTTCCAGTTCTATTCAATTTATGTTAAGACAAAAGCTTGAATGGATTAACCTATTATTCCATCAAATAATTTTAAAACAATGAATAATCTATTGTTTAATTGTCTACATTCCCTCTATTTAGTTATATTTGAATTACTAAACACTATCATCAAGCTGTACTTAGTCTAACTGATTTTTCTTTGCTATTTTACAAGTATTTTAAAACTCTTATTATTCATCTCTGGTGATGTTTAAAACATGGTGCTTTCCTTCAAGTTTCAATATAAAGTTTTTGGATTATTTGGGTGCTAGCTCCTTGCTTGGTCATCTGTTGGCTATTTTAAGTCGGTTTGTAACTTCCAAAGAGTTATGTTTACAGCAATAAAATGATTGATATGCCTCACTATCTTTTCTGAATTGTAAGGGGGGAGGAGGTTTAGACTGTATAGAATAATTAGAGATTATCAAATCTAGTTATTATTTTCATCCCATGTAGGGAAGAAATAATTATTTTATTTTTACATTGTAAAATTCGTTTTCATTTTCTACTTCCTAGCTCTTTTTTTTTTATTTATTTACTGAGGTGCTTACTCTCTGGATTGCTCCTTAGTAATGTCAGAGCGCAGCCTTGAGCAGCCTTGCACAAATAAATAAACGATAAATAGCCTGCATTTTTAACTTTTATTTGATACTTTTAGTATCTTTATACTTTCCCCTCTCTCTCTTTCATACTCTAATTTTCTTATTTTTGTTCATATTATCATTTTATTTCTTTTAAAATGGCTTTTCTTCTTATTTGCTTTTAAAGTCATACCTTTTCGTCTTTATTGGGGTGCATCTCCTTTTGGTCTCCAATGCCACTTCCAGACCATTATCATCTTCTTCTTGCAAACCTTACCCCTGTCAGACTCATGTGATCTGCTTATATCCCCCCTTCTCCTTGTGTGGTTTACTAACCTCTTAATAATGTCCCCACTTTTAGTGAAGACACATATTCTGGCCCACAGTCTTCTGTGACTCTCCAGCTCCTGTAGGCATTCACAGTAACTTAAATGACCACATGGGTGAGTCACCCGACACTCCGGATTCACAGTTCCTAGACCTCTATTTTCCTCACTCTGCTTCAGCCACCTACTTCCTTGTCATAACCCAGCATGACCTGGATGCTTCGATTTCACTTCCTCCTTATCCTTCCAGCTCATTTGTTTAAGTATTCCAATTGTTGCAATTCCTCCACTTCATCAACTCTTCCATTTTTTTGACTCCCACCACTTTCCACTATCTGTCAGCTTCACTTCCCTCGTCGTCCAATCAAGCTTCATGAGTCCAATGATAGTCACCTCTTGGTGAACATCTTCGACCTCCTTGCCCTGCTCTCCCTCTTCATATTCCAAATCTTTCACCCTCCATCTCTGTCTGCACACAAACAGCTAAATTATTCAAGTGAGTTGACTTTTTTCATTTTAATACTTGATCTCAAATCTCAGATTAACATCAAATGCACCCCTACCATCCTACTTGATTCTCTGATTGACTCTCAATCTCCTTATACTAGATTACCATTCCATACCTTCTCTGTCCTTAAACCTCCCACACCCGCTCTTCCCTCCTTCTTAGTTGATGACCTAATCCTATTGTTCACTGAGAAAATAAAAGTCATCAATCTTGAATCCATTCATCTTCATCTGCCAATCTACACATCCACCTGCATTTGTGCCCATCTTCTCCCCCCACCTTATTACAATGGAGTTAGTGTCCTACTCATATAAAAAGACAATCCCAGATTTGTGCTCAAGGACTTTGCTCCTTCCTTAATCATCTCTTTCCTATACCATCTCTCTCTCTCTCTCTCTCTCTCTCTCTCTCTCTCCAGGAACATTTCCATCAGCACCCCTCCCTGTACCTACTGCCTCATTTTTTGTTTGTTTGTTTCACCAAACTTCTTAAGACTCATGTACACGTGCTTTCTTTTCTTCCCCATGTCCCAACAGACTTCAATCCCCACCCAACAATCCATCAGCAGGGCCCTCGTCGAGTTTGTCTAATACCCGTACATTATACAAGGCCAACTTTTCTGTCCTTGTCTTTCTTAACTTTTGGGGAGAAAGTAACTATTCTCCCTCCCTTGAAACATTTTTCTTTCTTGGCTTTTATAACACCATCCTCTAGGGATATCACTTATATTTCCTTGGCCACTCTCTTTCTTATTCTCTTTTGTTTGTTCTCCATCTACCCAACTTTTAAATGGTGATGTTCTCCTAAAGTTTGGTCTCCTCTTAACACTCTACATTGTCTCTATAAGACCTCATCCAAGCCCCTTTTTAAATGTTCAAAATTAAACATATAATTTTATCACCCAAATATCCCTTATCCCAGTAATTATGACCCCATTGATTCATTGCTCAAGCCAGAAACTAAGTACTCCTCCTGGATTTCATCCTTTCCTTCACTCTTCACATTTGATCCATTAGTTACTCCTGTTGATTCTATAACCAAAATACATCTCAAGCCATGTAATGGTTTCCATCCCCATCTGCCACCACCCTACAAGAACTGCCTCTTAAGTAGTCTCTCTACTTACATATTGGCCTTCTTCAAACAATTTTCTACAGATGAGCCTATGTGGCATTGTAAAATATAAATTAGATTAAGTCAATCCCCTATTTTAAGAATTTCAACGGATTTTCGTTGCATATCCTAGAATAGACTACAGGGACCTACCTGATCTGGCATGAAAGATGATGGTGGAAAGATGATGGTGGTTTGGACTAGGAGAGTTGTTATAATGGAGAAGATGAGAAGAAATGGATTGAGGAAATATTTTGGCCTTCGCAACTGGTGTTTACTCTGCATGGAACATTTTCCTCCTAATTTTCCTATGGTTGCATCCTTTCTTTCACCTTTTAGGGAGCAATTTAAGTATCATGTCCTCAGAAAATCTTTTCTTGACCAACTTATTCATTCATTCCACAGATAATTACTGAATGTCCAATAGTTGTGCCAAGCAGTGGTGATATGACAGTAAATAAAACAGATAAAGTCCTTCTCCTCATGGAGTTTATGTTCAGGATAGGAAGGGGGTGGTGGAGATCTGACAATAAACAAGTAAAAAATTAATATATAGTGTGTTAGACAGCAGTAAATGATAAAGAGAAAAAGCAGAGCCACTTAGGATAGGGAGTGCAGGATGGGAGGGATGCCTTTTTATATAAGATATTTGAGGCAGAGTTCTATTATAAAGTAGTATTTGAGCAGAAACCTGAAGAACATTAAGGAACAAGCCATGTGGCTATCTGGGTACAGGGCACTTCAGGAAGAGCGGACTGCAAAATTGCAAAAATTCTGAGGTAGGCACGTGCTTGAGATATTCAAGCAAGAAGAAGGAGACCCATGTGGCTGGAGAAAGTAAAAGAAAGAAAGAAAGAAAGGGAGCCTGAGAGGTAATAAGGGATTGAGTTTGACTTTGCAGGCCATTGTAAGAACCTTGACTTATTCTGAGCAAAAGAGAGAGCCACTGGAAAGCTTAGGCAGAGAAGTGCTCTGCTCAGATTTGATTTTTAAAAGATCACTCTACTCGTAGTGCTGAAACTATGGGAGGAAATCATGGAATAAAGAAGATTAATTAGAAAGCTACTGCAATAATCCAGGTGAGTGAGTGGTGATTGATAACCTATAATTAGCTCTGT